TTAGAGCGGCCCGTGTGCGCAGAGACAGCTTCATGTGCAATACATTGAGATATATGAACACAAGGGACGCCGCCACCTTAAACATCTCATGTTTCACGTGTGGGAGAAAGCTAGAAACAAATGACGTGTTTGCTGACCGTACTCTAATGTCTTGTGAAAAATATGAGCAATGGCGTCATGGGCATAACTCACTAAGAGGCAAGTACCAGCTACCTGAAATGTCCAAATTTTTCACTAAGGAGAAACAGACACAGATATGCATTATCCCAAATGTGTGGAGAGACCTGCAACGGCATGAAAAATATAAGAGCTCTAAAATCCAGCGTTGTTGGATACTCAAATAAATTACATAAGCCCCTGAAGGCAATTCATGGAGGGTTTTTAGAGATTTGATAAGGTCGCTCCAAAACAGATACCAACTGAAAACAGTAGACTCAGCCAAAAGACAAACAAACTACAGCCCAGTGCATACTACTGTGCCAACTATAATCAGTATTTGTGAAGGAGATAAACAGTTAGTTAGAGAAACGTAAAGACGTCTGTCTGACATTTTATTGATTAAAGTAGGACTTGTTGATCTATCAGTATGTTATACAAACATAATGTTTCATTGTTAGGAAAATTCTACACCAAAAAGAAGAGTTTGATGATAATTATAAATTTGTCTTGACGTTTCTTATGTGTGGAAACAACACAAAGAAACTTTAATAGTAAAACTCACTGCTGAGTTAGAATATGTGTTAAAGACTGAGGCCAAGGGCAAGAGGGAAAAAAAGGGGGGGGGGGAGTCATTATTTGCAGACACATAATGAATGTATAATTCACTGATTCGTCACACTGAACTTTATTTATCTGCTCCAGAAACAGCAGAGGTTATCAGCAGAGTAAATATTTGGTTTAATGTAGAGTAGGTTTGATCTGTGTATGGAAACACGCAGTCACCTCACAGTTCAGGTTGCAAGCTGGAACAAAATGGCGACAGGAGCTTAATCATGGGAATCATGCTATATTTATACACGCATTCACACATACATTCAGCTGGTAGGAGAGAGATGTTAAATGATGCACAGACTAAACTGGCTGCTTGAGATTGTTAATTAGAGTCTGACCGATAATGGATTCTTGCGGCTGCTGCAGCAAAAAATTCCTATACTGATACACTGGACAGTATTTAATACAAATATATCCATAGGTTATATGTCAGACTTACGTTAAAGGGGAAATGTGACGGTGCCATTACTTATGATCTTGCCAGCTCTTTCTTTTAAAATCTGGCTGGCAATTTGTAGTGAAGTTCCCCCTCCTCAGCTGTGATGTTTTTCTGGTACATGTGTGCCAACTTTTTCTACTAATAAAAATCGAATAAAAAAAAAAAAACATGACAGAAAAGTTCCTGTTTTTCTACAATAGAAATTTCAGTTTTTTCACAAAAGGTAATTAATGCGCAGTTAAACGTCCTTATAGTGATGGAAAGGCGAGTTTCTTTGGTCCGGCTCACTTAAGATCAAAGTGGGTTGCATGTGGTTCACGATGTATAATGAGTTGGACATCCCTGGTCTCAATAACCTGGTGAATTTCAAAAGTGAGCATTGGATTTTGGAAGAAAGGATTTTCCCTATATTATAGCAAAAATAAAGGAATCTTTATCTTTAAAGCCTCTGATTAACAGTAATTCTTTTTGTTGTCTTGATGCATGCTCAGTCATCCAGGTAAGTAAATCTCCAAAAGTTGATTCTGTTCATCTGGACGTAGCGTTTGGTGGAGCTGATCACAGCCACAGAAACAGCAATTCGTAACAACAATATTGCAGAAGTGGAAGCAGAACAACTACGGACGAAAGTTTCGGCCTGTCTCAGCAATGCAAAGCCCCCAGCATCAAACATCACCATGGAGGAGAGGAAGCCACTCACATCACTTAATGATGACAACAACATTATCATCCTTCCGGCAGACAAGGGGAGGTGCACAGTATTGCTAAACCAGAAAGACTATCATGAGAAAATTTTGTCACTACTCAGTGATGAAAATACTTATGAGCCCCTGAAATGACACCCAGGAAGTGGCTACAGGAAGAGGGCGATAGACTGTCTGAAGCAGTTAGAACAAGACAAGCCTATTGACCGGACCTCATACCGCAGGCTATACCCAGGGGAGTCTACACCAAGTCTGTATGGTTTACCGAAAATACATAAACAGGGTGCACCTTTAAGACCGAGGCTCTGCAGTCTATTTACACCTACAGGCCAGTGGACACTCTTTCAAGGATGAGGATGTACACATCTTGGACAGGGAGGAACGCTGGTTTGAGCGCAGAGTCAAGGAGGCCATTTACGTGAAAAGGGAAAGACCATCTCTGAATCGAGGAGGGGGCCTAAGGGTACATCTTTCGCCATCTTACAATGCTGTGGTTGCAGCCATTCCCCAACTCTCTGTGAATGGTACTCAAGGCCATTGATCAGTGGGCTTTGGTCAGTGGTTGTTGATCAATGGTCATGAGAATTTGCATAATTAAGATTAAGAACTGACCTCCCGGCCCATTGTTCCTTCACTGGGCTGGTTTCAGTCATTATGGAAATGTACTGTTTATGAGATTGGGGAAACCTGCAGTCTGAGACTGAAGAAGTCACTTGGATGAGTGACGAAACATTTCTCCCACAAAACGCTACGTCCAGATGAACAGAATCAACTTTTGGAAATTCTTTTTGTTTGTTTGTTTTTTACCGTTGAACAAGTAAAATGGAAACTTCTTTTTTTAACTTTCAGCAGTCAGTCATCATGCTGTTACTGCTGTGTGTAGTCATGCCCAGAAGTACAATTCTGAACCGTGAAAAACTCCTGGTACTCTATACTTATGGGGTGGTCAGCGTGTATGTGTGTGTTTATATGACGTTAATATGTGTTTGTGTGTTCTCTGTTTGTAACTCTGTGTACAGGATATAAGAAGCGTGTGTGTGTGTGTGTGTGTGTCTATTCACGTCTGTGCCTGTTACGTAAATATTCATCATGAAGTCATTGTATGTATAAAAGAAATGCTAGACGGGGCTTGACATCGGTAAATCAATCAAGAGTGCGCTTGCACACGTGCGCGCACACACAGACGCAATTTCATGCAAACACAACACCACACATTCTGATTCACTGACGCCTGCAATAATCACACGAGTCATTGCTACACCAATAAAACGGTCCGTAACTCTGCTCACCTGGACTGTGAATGGACATGCACAGACTTACACACACACACAGTCTCCCTAAAAAAGAACAAAAATAAAAATGCAAACTTGGAGTTCAGGAAAACGAAATCACAATGGAAGCCCTCATTTCCCATGATCCAACAGTTGACTGTCCCACAATCTGTTTAAATAGACAGGGCATGCTGACAGTCTCTTTGGCATCTCTTTCAGCCCAGTGCACTGTTCCACTAAACTGGACCTTGTTGTAAGGTCTCAGTGAGGATATAAAATAGCAGAAGGGACTCCTCTTTGCTGCATTTAAGCTACAAACCCATCTATTAAACCGTACCTTGAGTTAGACTGTGTAGGTGTCTGTTAATGTAATCAATCATATTACGAGAGCTTTATAGCGGTACATGGTTATTGCATTATCACAGTACTTAAGTATATCATTTTAAAGTGTGGAGAGAAAGAGAGAGAAGATAAAAGGAGAAAGAGGGGGAGGAATAAGAGGAGAGAGTTAATGAGGTGCCGGGTGAAGATCATGTCAATGTGACCAGTCATAGAAACTGAAGCAGCAGAAGAGACTCCAGGAGATATCAAGAGTTGATTGTTCTGTATTTAAATTCTAAGCAGTGAGAATAAATGAGAAACTTTGGAAACTTTATACTGTTAAACTAAAACCGAATGCAGCCTTTTCACATTAACCTCTGCATTAAAGAGAATAACATAGCACGGCTGTGTGCAAAATGTACCACAAATCACATCTCGAGGAATTGTATTTTCAGACCGGATATTGACGTATGATACAGCAATCAATATTTTCTAGGACATTTGAGACATCACCCACGCTTTTATTAAATAACGATGTAGTCCAAAAAATATTTTAAAATGTTGAGATATGTCTAAAAGCAGCAGGTTTCCCAGTCTGGCTTCCCACAAAGCATACTAAGACTTTACATTTCACTGGGTAAATGATTTATACTCAGAGTTTGTATGAGGTTCTGGTCAGTGTGTTGCCAACAGTGGATGGCAGTCGGCACACCACCAAGCAGATAGGAGCACTAACCCGCACAGAAACTAAAGCCATGCAGAGCATGTCCATGTAAAATAATTTATATAAATTTAAATGAACCTAATGGGGGGCAGCACGGTGGCAAGAAGGTCCTGAGTTCAATTCCACCATCAGGCCGGGGTCTCCCCATGTTCTCCCCATGTTCGCGTGGGTTCTCCCCAGGTACTCCGGCTTCCTCCCACAGTCCAAAGACATGCAGTTAGTGGGGATAGGTTAATTGGAAACACTAAATTGCCCATAGGTTTGAATGCGGGAGTGAATGTAAGTGCGATTGGCTCTCTCCTGAAAAGGATAAGCGGAAGCGGATGGATGGGTGGACAATATTTCGAACTCTTTCATCGCTTTTCAAGATCAGGGACATGATTGGAGAGCACTCTGTAAAATATGCCTTAAAAGCTCAATGGGACAACAATGTATTTAGACATTTTTAACAATGTGATAAGGTGGTGCAAGCTGAGAAATAGCCACACAATCATTTTCGCCATTCATTCATGTTGTGGTCACATTTTTACAGTTTTAGAGGGAAATTAACTATTTTTCCATTATATTGTTATTTTTTGCTGTTTTGATGAAACTATAACGCAGCCACATGAGATGGCTGAAAACGTAAATGAATGAAACTGAATGAACATAACTTTTATGAGGCATTGTGCACGTTTACGTACGCCGCGTGAAAGGACAAACACGAAATGTAACCAAATGTAACAGCTTAAATTTTTTTCAGTTAGATGGAGAGAAAGACTTCTTCTTACTTCATCTCCAGGACCTCTTCCAGGTGCTTCCGCCTCTCGGCCCGCAGCGAAGTCAGGTGACCTTCCTTCTCAGCCAGTGAGAGTTGAGTTGATGACAGCTTGGCTTTCATCACCTCCAGTTCCTGTTTCACCTTCTCCATAGCAACCAGCAGGTCCTCCACCTGACACATACAAGTTAACACAGTGTAAATATTTTGGCTCATTTTTTTTCCTCGCCTTTCCTTTTTTTTTTTTTTTGCACATATTAGTCTTTATGTCTGCGAGCGTGTCGTCTATTACGGTGCATATGTGACCTACTGTGTGTTGATTTTCCTCCTCCTTGTTTTCCTTCCCCTGTCTCAGTTGTTTCTCTTTCTCCCGCTCTTCTCTGATACATATTCTGTGTCCCACTCTCTCACTGGGCATATATCAGTTTGTCAGTTTAATGTGAGTGAGGTCAGTGTGGATTTCTCTCAACAACGTAACCACTACACACACACACAAGCACACACATTTTCTCTTTGGAAACCTTTTTCTTTCCTTTCCTAGTTATATACTACACACCTCTAAAGTTTTAAATTAGCATAAATTCGTCTTGCATCGCTGTTTTTCTGAATGCTTAAAGACAAACGGTGAACTTGAAGCATTGTCGCTGAGACCTTACAGCCAAATTAATGTGCAGTCCCTGCTTTATACTGAGATTGTAATTTAATAACATATTTATTTATTTTGCAAAACACAACTCACAGCTTTACAGTCAGATACGGCACCCTGGGTAGTACTTTAAACACTGCTGAGCTCAGACAATATTACATGCCATGTGGAAGAAGTTCTTCTGACCTGAACCACAAAGACATTGAGATCTTCTCTTCTTATTTCCCCTTAGTTTTATTTGGATTACCATGTTATGTATACACATCCGATCTTTACATGTTTGGATATCTTTACTAAATCTATGGAGCCACGCATACACACAGACAGCCAAACAAAGTGTTGCTTTCACAAGATGAATGAACGTGTCTGTTTCGGCTACAGATGTTTATTTGTAGATGTGTATGAATGGTTTAGGTTGCATACATGGATTCTGAACGTCAGATTAGCTTGTAAAGAAAGATGTCTCAAACATTTCTGCAAACAAGTCACCATAAAGAAATGCGTGTTATGACTGATATTTATAATGGGATTCAGCATCTTCTCCACCACCACTATGATCTTAATTTCTGGCTCATTCTCTCCTTTCGTCTCTCTCCAGAGCACTGACGGTGATGCAGAAAGGCAGAGTTCAGAAAGTTGTTCTCTGTTGTTTTCTCATTAATATTGTGATACATTTGTGTACACCGGTGTCAGGTTCAGGAGATCGAAACAAAGGTGATCAAAGTCTGTGGTTTTATTCCTGTCCTTGGGAACGATACAGACTTAAAGGCTGTATGTGTCATCGATATGCAGGTTTGTGACAGTGTTTCTGGTTTGTAGTATGAAGGACTTGTAGTGAAAAGCTTTGCATAAGTACATTAAGATTTAATTTGCAATTAAGAACACACTGGTGATGGAATGAGATCGGAAAAATAAGACGGGAACTGAGACAAAAAAACAGAAAAACAGAGAAAAAAGAAAAGGCATAGTGTTAGTTCAGGCAGGCCACAAAGTCAAGCTCAGCTGCAGTCCCAGCACATTAGCTGACGCACCTTCAGCAGCTGAAGGCTCAGCTGACACTCTTAAAGATTCCCTCCCAATCCATTCCCTGCATTATGCCTAAATGGCTTTCCACGTATGCCAGTACAACATAATTCCCCCACATTAGAAGGAAATGACAAACTTCTTTTGACTGAAGTGGCCCTGACTGAAATATGTCTCTTTATATCCAAACCCATATAAGGCCACTGAAAAAAGAAAACTAATTCATAGTGTACCGTATGCATGCCCCAAAACATTTCTACCAATGAACAAATCAAAGTCTTATCAATACAATACTACTTTTTTCACTTTCCATCCAAGTTGCATCTGTTAACTGATCAAAATGAACAGATCCAATAAAAGCTTTTGTTAAATGGCTTCTTTTTTTATTTATTTACAACTTACTGTAAAAAATTAAGGAAATATAATAAAAAAAAATTTAAATTAAAAGATGAACAAATGTAAAAAGCAGACGAGCAAGGTATGGGATGATTGTTTGTTACCTTTGACCACCTAAATCCGCTTGTGATGAACTCATGCATTGGAATGTGAGAGAGCTGCATACAAAATAACAGAGAAAGAGATGTGAGAAGCGGGAATGACAACAGTGAAGGAGGTGGAGACGGACATAAGGATGTAAAAGGAATTGCTAGAGGAAAGGCGGAGAATACAAAGGGTAATGAAAAGATAGGCGCAAAGACAAATCAAGGAAGACGAAGGAAGAAAAAGAAGGAAGCAAAGAAAAGTGATTGTTTGTGGCGAGAGATGTCAAAAGAAAGGGAGGAAAAATGCAAAAGAAGCAAATGCTAAGCTGATGAAAGAGAAGCAACCAGACAGAGGAAAATGCACAAGAAGGAAGACACTGACAGGCAGCAACATGAAATACAGTTCAGACTAGGGCTGTTCGATATAACGATATCGGATGACGATATAAAAACGTCTATCGTTTCATTTTACGCTATCGTTTGTTTCGTGGTGTCGCAAAATAAACTGTTTACAGCAATATTTTTTCATCGTTTTGA